TATGCTTGACCGAACGGTGTCAAAACCCTGGCGCGATTACCACTAGAAGTCATAAGTTTACCCCAAATTTTCAAAGACATCTATACAACATCAGTTGTAAGTTGGAAAGCCCGACGTGTCCATTTTATACCTAAACTTTGATCAATGCAATACCGCATTATTCACAACCTGACAATTATCCATCAACCGCACATCCGCATAGCTTCTCTACATCAACTTTCCGTACCGTCAGCAGCTCACACCGTAGAAACGCTACAACTATGCCTAACACAGGGAACTATTTTAGCTACTTCACCTTAGGCCAATCAATACATGGTTTTAAGGCATATCACGCCAGTAAAACTACATCACATTTGCCACAATGGTGCCATAACTACATCACATTTGCCACAATGGTGCCATAGACGGTATCCGCCGAGCTCCTTCCCATTTCTTCCATTCTGTAATTTACCGGTTTCCTACCGTAAATACTGCCACTGCAGTCACAACACCAATGTTCACCATTACATTTTATTAAGTACTACATCACTTTTCCAAGGTCACTAATGCAGATTGGGTCTGAATTCGCTACTTATCGACCATGGCATCATGGATACTCACTAACACTTTCTCTCCGTGACGTTATGTTTGCTCCTAATACAAATTGGCTTATTATTTCGGGCTAAGGAATATTTCCCATTACACAAAATCAAACAAGCAATCACACAAACCTAAAAGAGTGCGCTGTAACCAAATGCGCATTTCCTTAATTTTATTACAATGCTATAAATATTGTCTGATAACACGTCAGACATCTGTGTTTAGTGACAGTGGAGTGCAAAATATAGACGATGGAGATAATGTTTATTAACAAGTGGTACATGACAGTTTACATAGGTTCAGTGCGTATCAAAATTGAACATTGTCCTTAACTCCAGGATGAACATGATGGGATTGCAAATACACAACTTTTTTCAGAATCTATTGAATGAATGGTGTTAAGCTGTATGTCGATGCAAATTATGTTTAAGTCATTCGTGCATGAAACTAATTCGGTTATTTTAGCTACATTTTGTGATGTTGAAGTGACAAAAATCGGCGAGAATCATATGTAGAACTACAACATTTTTGCCATTTCCTCAACAATGCTAATGTAGAAAGACCATTTTCTATGCTGAACATCCGTTCAGTAAGACTTGGGGAAGTTTGAATAACAGCAACAACCAGTTTCAAATGGGTACCTAAATGAAATCTAATGACATTTGTATTACCTTCAAACGCACCCCATCATCCAAACATAGGAGAGCAGCTAATTAAGAAAACATTCCGTTAACCAGTGTATTTTAAAGACAGAAACATGATGTCTTTTTATGTAATGTCTTTGCACTTATGTTTATATTACTGTGTGTTGATGCTATTGGACAATTCTTTAATAAGTCTTACTAATTTTTAAGTATATTAAATGTGTAAACACCGTTCTTTTCGTTTTTTTCTTTTTCTTTAAAAGCCAAATTTGATATTTTGAGAGCTTGTTGACTAATTAGAAAGTATTTATAGCTATGTTCTAGGCAGTGTTACTTTAAGGTGATATTTATAAGAGAGAGTAAGTAAACATAAAACACCTTTCAAGCGAGAACATATTTAGTGACCATGAGAAGTTTTGCAAAATTGAAACAGAAAACAACCAATCTTCTAAAATTCTTAATATGATTCACAACCTTACAAAGAAATATATATACTTAATATACACTAGCAGATAACAATTTTTTTTTGATAATCCGAAATTTTCCCAAAAGTTCCATTTGGCCAGAAATATCTTTCACAATATCACATTCAACCACCACGATTGGCATACATGACTCAAACATGTGATTAAGGGATCAATGAATCATAAATATAATTATATTTGTGATATTCATAATTTGTGAAAAATACAATTTTTTTAAATAAAAATAAATACTATTTATAAGATCATTTTGTTATTAAAATGAAAACATGCCGATAATACAATTAAATTGGTTACACTGGAATTTCCGTACATTCCATGATGGAAGATACTGAAGTACATGTACAGTGAAAAGTTACCTCGGGAGAAATAAATACCGCATTATACCGGTAATACCGCAGACAGCTAGTAATTTGCAAACGAAGTGCTATCACAGTTGTGCTGATATGGAAAATGGATCCATACGATTTAAAGCAGTAATATCGTTTAACGCATTAACGAATTAGCTCCCTTAATGTAAGAGTTTGAAAGTTTTCACGAAAATACGAAGGTTGCTATAACAGACTTATTGTTTTCATTAAATATCTAATGTAATCTCATGGCTCGTACGAAAGCAATCGTTTTGCCCTATTTTTGACCGAATTTCAGTACACTTAACCAATATGACTATTCTAAGTCACGAGCACAAGGAATTCATTTTAGATGTGGAATTATTTGTCAACCCACATGGTCGACGGTTTTTGCGTTTGAAGAAATCGGGACCAATCAAACAAAACACAAATCAGAGTATGCAGAAACGTCCGATTTGATCCAAATGCATATGACGTAGGATCGTGAGATCATTCATGACCCAAACAAAATATATATCGATAGTTGTAGTATATATTGCAGTTAGGGTATCGAAACAAAATCACTTTATCGCATATTGATTCGTGCTACAGACAGCTTTTCAAATCCCCAACATTCAAATATTTTTTTTAAAAGCCATAAGCTTGTGGTTTTTATTTTGAGGTCGACGTTCTGTGTGGGAGAATCGTATAGCTAGAATTAGTGTCAGTAGTTGATATTAGTGCAATTTAACAGCGGGAAATTGATTTTATATAATGCATAGACCACAACCCGTACCGGGAAAATCGAATAAACGTGATTCACGTAATTTCTTAAGTGTAAATAATCCGTAAGTTTGCTTTAATGAAATGATAACATAAAGAATCGTAAGAACTAGGATATTGTGTGATATTTTAACAGTCTAACAGTAATTTATAAAGATTGAATCTGTAAATTACTGCGTATACGAAGTAATTTGCAGATTCAGTCTTACGCAGTAATTTGCAGATTCGGTCTTTATAAATTACTGTTACACGCCAGGGGTCTCTTACCGAGAGAATCAAACAACTGCGTGAGCATGGCTTGATCGTTCTTTCTTCCCCTTATTTCTAAGTACCTCAAGAAAACAGTCGTTGTCAACTGAAGGATTCTTCGGCACGCAAATACTACAGGAATAATCTATAATCGCCTAATAATCACATCACAATACTAATTTCACACTTACCGCTCAGGTGCCCTAGTGGTTAGAGCGTCCGCCTCATATATATGGGAGGTCGCGGGTTCCAACACTGGCCGAGTCATGCCAAAGACTTATAAAAATGGTACTAATAGCTGCTTCGTTTGGTGTTCAGCATTAAGAGGTTAGTGTTGGGACTGGTCCGCCTGGTGTCAGGGTAATGTTACTGTGTGGGACTTAATGATACATGTCTGCAACATGATGCCAGTGCCATACATCATTTTAAACAGCCACACTGCTGACATCATATCGATATGACTGAAAGGTTTTTAAAGCTACGTTACAAATGCTAATCACAACCCCACACACTCATCACTCACACCCACCTACCCCCTATTAAGTAAGCCTTTCCAAGCCGAACATTAGTACTTCACTCTATGCAATACAAAAAAAGAACCAACACCCAATGCAACAAAATAATTTCTGTATGAAATTACTAAACACGTATACCGAAAATACCGAAAAATGTACCTAATTCCATATATTAAGAAATTATGGAGGATTCGTATTACGAAACTAATCCATGATGTCATAAAATATTGGGAATATTATACAATATGACGTTTGCTTCTGGAAACTGGCTAATTACTCTGGTTGAAAAATATTTTCCCAACATAAACTCTCCATATTCAAAAAAATAATCACTAAAAATAACAAAGCTATAAGCGTAGACGTAAATACAAATAATCACATACCTTTATTACACTACGTAAAAACTTCTGAATGGATACAGATCTGTTACAATTGTATGTACAGTTGTTTAATCATTTCTTTGTATGTTAATATCTACCAACCTACCAAACCTATTAAGCTATACGTCTCTCTCTCTCTCTCTCTCTCTCTCTCTCTCTCTCTCTCTCTCTCTCTCTCTCTCTCTCTCTCTCTCTCTCTCTCTCTCTCTGCCTGTTTATGTATTATATATTTGTTTAACTGACAAACTAGAACTATCATACTAGAACTATCATACTAGAACTATCTCAGCAAAGGCAAATACAGAGTTATGAATGTTAACGTTTATTTCATCTCGCCTATAACCTTGTCATGTAATAGTTTTCAGAATATTGATGTGCAAAATTTATTTACGAAAATAAGAGCAATCCCACTGATCTGGTCTCCAAATATTACAAGATTTTTCTGGACGATCGAAAAGGACGTATTTGTATTATATGTGTGAATGTGAGTAAAATTATAGCAGCCACAATAATTAAATAAAATATGCAGTGTGACATTTGAAGGCTAACGAGTCACTGGAAAGAATAAATAAAAAGAAATGAAACTCAGATTAAAGCTTGCAAAACAATGGATATGCTTCTGGTATATTTTTGTCAGTGATGTCAGGCATGTTTTTGTCACATAAATATATTCTAAATTATATTTTTGAAGCGGATTTGCGAAATCTCTTTCCCGAGTTACAGCTGAAATTTTCGAAGAAAAACAAATCCTGAAAATAACGTCTGCCAATAGTCAATACGTCTGTACTTATCACTTGGGCACGTGAGGTTAACATAGACGGTTGGCGTAGAGGGACTGTACTAGAAAAAACATGAACAAATTTTCATTCATATCACTACAAAATCGGCAGTGTGGCAGTTTATAGTAATGTCTAGCACTGGGATATGATGCCTCATGCATGTAGTATCATGTCCCACCCAGTCGCATTATCCTGACACTAACATCTTAATGTTAAGCGCCAAGGGGGGCAGCTGCTAGCATAATTTTATGTCTTTGGTACGACTCAGCCGGGGTTCGAACCCGCGATCTCCCGCATCTGATGCGGACACTCGAATCACTTAGGCCACTGGAGCGGTCGTTTTAGCTATTGTAACAGTAGTAGTAGTAGTAGTAGTAGTAGTAGTAGTAGTAGTAGTAGTAGTAGTAGTAGTAGTAGTAGTAGTAAATGCTTGCAGTCGTAGTAGCAATTTTAGTAGTAGTAGTATTAGTATTTGTACTAGCTGTAGCAAATTTAGTATTTAAAGTAGTAATTTTAGTACTACAAGCAGGGGCAGCAGTAAAAGTACTAGGTTAAGTTATTGTAGTAGTAGCAGCAGTAGTGATATTAGTTGTAAAAGAAGTAGCAATGTATTTATTTGTAGTACTTTTAATTATTGTAGTAGTTGATCTCACCAGCAGCACTGGCAACTGTAGCACCAATAGTAGTCATTGTCATTGTGTTTGTCGTCGTAGTCGTCCTATACTGTCATCAAGGCCTTGCATTCATAGCAATTTTAGAGTATTTCAAACTGGCAAATGTGATAACACCTTTCAATTTCCAACGGTTGTGATGTTATAGATTGTCTCTCACCGGTAACCCTGGGTCTCGGGTTTGCATCCCTTGGACACCATTACGACATAGCAAAGTAAACAACATTAACGAAGAAAGGATCACAAATATGAGCAAAATTAAACACAGTGTATGCATTGGGACATATCCATTTAATAACTTAATCTGAGGATAGGATTATTATCGTTGCAGTTTTTTCGCTCCTGACCTGTTGTATGCTGACATGGAACCTGCTTTAAAGATGAGAGAGAGAGAGAGAGAGAGAGAGAGAGAGAGAGAGAGAGAGAGAGAGAGAGAGAGAGAGAGAGAGAGAGAGAGAGAGAGAGAGAGAGAGAGAGAGAGAGAGAGAGAGAGAGAGAGAGAGAGAGAGAGAGAGAGAGAGAGAGAGAGAGAGAGAGAGAGAGAGAGAGAGAGAGAGAGAGAGAGAGAGAGAGAGAGAGAGAGAGAGAGAGAGAGAGAGAGAGAGAGAGAGATTTAATTTGAACGGAATACATTTTTAATTCGGAGAATGTAATTCGAAAGACACCTGGTATCATACTATCTACACCGATGTAAAACAAAATGAGAAATAACGTATTGTAATTTCAAACATATGCTGTCATATTTCCAGCTATTGTTATAAAGCCTAATTGAAATGATCAGCGAGTATATAACGCAGATAAAGTATCTAGACACCTGTGAAAGGCTGGCGACAAGAATTCGTGCGCACGATATCGTGCCGATATAAACAGTATGCCAGATGAAACGTCGTAGCTTGCCCGTATTTGATTAAACAGGAAAGCGATTGATCTTGATTAATCAAGCTGACTAAAAAAAAATGATATTTTGCCTATTTACTGTACCTAATCCCCGTCCAATAAATCTACAGAAAAAAGTAGTTCGGGGTATCTTTGTACGTATTTAGTTTATGTCATTCTGTATTATGAGTGCATTCGACTTTGTAATTTTGCATTTTCCACTTGCGCTTTTATGTAATTTAAACCCATTTGAAGACATAAAATGTCAGTATCAAATTTAATATTGGAGATTACGTTTCCGTACATCTGTTTATAATCGATTTCTTGATAACGTAATTGCTTATTTAACTTCAATAATTTACAGGTAGATATATAAGATAAATCAGTTGAGTTGCCTAAGACAGCATATCCTATAATCCTGACATTCCTGTTTGTTCAAAGGGTGATTTCAGAGTAGTGGTTTGAATATTACAGTGATAAGACAAATATATACGCCAAGTGGGCAGAACTATTGCTGAATCATTTATGAATTAGGACGTATTTTCTAAACAAATATTTCATTCGATAACAATTTGATATATATATATATATATATATATATATATATATATATATATATATATATATATATATATATATATATATATATATATCATGGATTTAACGTAAATATTAGCGTTGGGGAATTGGTATTATTTAACAAACACTCGATGTGTGTGAGTAGCAAACGTATCGTAGTTTAAAGGTCCGATGACAATCGATAACAAATGGAGTTTAATCGCTATAAATCCACAAAATAAATACATCAGTCTAATAGTATACAGAATTTCAGACATTATTTCAACATGTTTGGTTCACGAATATTTATCACTAGAGCCGGAATATTTTTTCATTGTTTCTTATCAACGATAGAAATGTTTTTAGATATCAAGTACGATATAGACCGACACGAAGTGAACTCTTTTCTGGCAAAAGGCACAACCGGAATTATTATTTAGGAAAACAGAATGTGTTGATGTGTACAAGCAATTTCTACAGCGGGATATAAACATGGTACTTTAAAAAGTCGAATGCTACTAACACAGGAGCATTGACTCTGGTTAACATATTTCGTGAGGAGAGCTGCAGAGTTAATCTATCACTTTTTTGTCATCCACTTTGTTCAGTGATACAATTTTACAGATGTGATAAAAAAGGTCTTCGTGAGGGAATAAATTTTCTTTTGTTGTTGGGAAAACAGTACTAGTTTTGGAATTTAGCTAATTTATATCGACTGGAACCATCAGTTAATAAGGAGAATTGAAAAAAAAATACATCAGTGTGTATATGAACTGTCCTTTTGATGAAAGTGATATTGTTTAAATTGAAATCATTTCCACGGGTACAATTGTACGATGAAATTGTCAATAAATCAATAACTTTATCATTTCATCTCTACTTCTTACCATCTTGTCGGTCTCAGTTAAATAGTTTGGTGTTTCCTAGTAGGTTTCTATGTCTAGTGGTTTCTAGGATGTCCCTATGTCTGAAAGCCAGTAGGATCACGAGAAGCCAAGCTGAGATAGACGGAAAAGTTCGACCCTTCCATTATTTAAGTTTTGTAAAGGACGTTTTAGAGATATGACTTGTATAGGATTTTTGTTAGGTGTATATTGAAACATTTCTGTCATTACAAAATTGAAAGTTTTTCGTCAAAGGAGAAAAGTTCAAAATAAACTTCGGTATGTTTGGATTATATATTATGGCAATACTTTAATAATTTTTTTTAAATGTAACACGAAATTTTAGCAATAAAATTATTCTAGCAATGCTGTCAAATCGGTAGCAATCTAACAATATTCGTAATACTGTTTAATCGATTGCAATCAAACAATTTTAGTAATACTGTCAGATCACTTGCAGTCAATTCTTTAGGTTTGTATGTTAAGTGGTGTGTTCTAGTATGTTCTTATATCTAATTATGTCAAACATTTAATGCAAAATTTTATTAGTTGTATCTTCGCTCTTAATTATTTTACGGATTGTTTTAAAATGATTTTCTCCAAATTATGCTCTCTTTAAAATTAAATCAAACTATTTGCTCAAATAGCTGCCCGTAAAATTGTGCCGAAATTATTGAAATTATTACCTCTAAAGAACATCCGAATTGTTTAAATAGCTACATGCAAAGCAATACACCATTTATTCCAATTGCTACCTGTAAAACCATGCTCCATTTGTTCGAATAGCTACTCATTAGATACTCATTAGATATCCATGCCATTTCTAATCTAAACATTTTATCCAGAGAAATTTAAGATAGCATCAAGTACGAAGAGTGCATATAAATGAAATTCTCGGTGTGAAAACCGATCCAAGTTACCTTATGTTTAATAGAGTAGATAAGTTGTGTCGTCTCCTGGCTATAAAATGTCATTTATAATTACTATTAGGTCCTTAAAGGCTAGAAAAGTTTTAATTTTCCTAAAACAAATGGCACAAGCTTCTTTTGAAATGAATCAATGATTCCCAAATACAATTGTTAGTCTCAGATTTGCTGTTCTTATTGACGTAACGATTCTCAGGAGGTGGTGCAGTGTACCCGGATGTAGCGCTTAAGTTGTATACTTATTCAGTGTTTAAACTTTCACAGAGATGCAGCATGTTTAAAGATGTGATAACCACTCAAATATTTTTGTTACCAATTTTACCGTTCTTTGACACTTCAAAAAGGTGTACACTACCATTCCTGAAAACCTATACGAGATAAATGTATCCTGTTCCCTACAAGTAATCACTATCCCATAAGTACAACTGGTAAGAAACAGCTACATTTTATTGTAAACGAAACTTTTTTTTTTGAACTATCGCAAAATATTAGCTCATTAACTTTCTTTAATACAGACACAGGTTATGCACTGTATTCTTACCATCCTAAATAAACACGCTCTGAGACAACTTTATTTTCGTTAATAAGAATGTTAAACTCATACAAAACTGCTAAACGTTTTGTAACAATAATTCTGAAAATTATGAGTTTTGGAAATAGTGTAATATTAATAGTGTATCATTTTTATTGCATGCACATTTCTTTTCGGGTGATATTTCTGACTCTGTTTTACACGTTAGATACTCACGTATCTTTAAAACGTTTTGATGCATTTAGTTATACCGTTACAGGTAGTTTAGTACATTTACGGACATAGGGAATAAACGTATCTACAATATTATAGCATCTGTGGGGGAAAAAAAATCCACCTTGAATCATTGTGCACAAATGGCATTTTGGTGCCATTATCTGGGTTGAAATAGGAATAATACAATTTTGTTTGTGCAAACTGACACATGAGACTTCATTTTTTTAGTACAGGATTTTTAACGAATGGGCTACTGTAAATATGTTGAGAATCATCAACATTTGGTTTCAGATATTTATCAGGAATTTTGGTAGATAAATTTCTCTTATATATGAAGAATAGTCTACTTTAGGTCAACCAGGAGCTTAGTTTTCATTACATTTGGTTGTAAAATGCCTTCAAATTAACGTGATTGGATGGAGAAGATACGATTTATGATCTACATGCTACATAAAAGAGTAAAGATTAAGTCCAGTTGTTGTATTCTCTTTTCACTAAAATGCAATTTTCGGCAATTACAATAACATCTTGCTGATGTTAACACGTGTCTGACGTGAGCTTTGTTTTAACGGATATAAAATTATTGATATCAAAACATTTTAAAGATAGTGTTCTCACGTATAGAGTTTGCAGACTGCTCTTATTAGCGTAATTAGCAGATAACTGAATTTATGC